TCCCTCACTTCCTTCCTCTCCTTCCTTCCTTCCTTCCTTCCTTCCTTCCTTCCTTCCTCCCCTTCCTTCCTTCCTTCCTTTTTTTTGACACAGGGTCTCACTATGTTGTCCAGGCTGGTCTTGACCTCCTGGCCTCAAGCGATTGTCACCTGGGCCTCCCATGGTGCTGGGATAACAGGTGTGAGCCGCCATGCCCTGCTGTCCTGCATTCTTTCCTCTACTCAATGGTGGCAGTGCCCCTTAGGCTTCTCTAGCACAGTGTACCCTCAGCCAGGCCAAACTGAGAAGCTGGACGGGGGGGAAAGAAGAAATCATCTGAGCTGCCATATCTCTTAAGTTCATAGCTGCCATTTTTGATAGCAAGAGTTTTTCATAGATGTACATTTCATAGATTACTATTAAATATGGATGTATCACATTTTAGTTTGTTTAAATGTTTTCTCTTATAACATTTGTGTGAACAACTTTGGTGGAGCCTTCACCTTTGAGATACGGAAAAGCGGTGTTTCCCACTCTGAATCAGAAACCAAGGTTAAGTAAGAAAATTGAGTCCAAGGGTCCCGAAGGCCTTTTAGAAGCAGCACCACCTGCAGACCTTCCGAGTTCCACACCTGACAGAATTCAAAGGTGTCAGACCAGGAGTCTCAGACCAACTCTGAGTCCAGCTACGGAAATCACTTTCAGTATGAACAGTGATTTTCAAACTGAGGCCCAGAGAGAGAAAGGGCCTCAGTTTCTCCATCTATAAAACTTCAGGGTTGGACTAGAGCAGTCTTTCTCAAATGATGTCACTCTGGTCTAAAAGTCAAAAAGATTCCAGTGACCCCCTTCTTGAAAGTGTTTTGGTTGATTGATTGATTATTGATTGAGACAGAGTCTTGCTCTGTCACCGATGCTGGAGTACAGTCATAAGATCTCAGTTCCCTGCAACCTCTGCCTCCCTGGTTCAAGCAATTCTTGTGCCTCAGCCTCCCAACTAGCCGGGATTACAGGCACGCACCACCACACCCAGCTAATTTTTTGTATTTTTAGTGGAGGTGGGGTTGCACCGTGTTGGCCAGGATGGTCTTGAACTCCTGACCTCAAGTTATTCTCCAGCCTTGGCCTCTCAAAGTGCTGGGATTACAGGTGTGAGCCCTTATGCCCAGCCTATTTATTTATTTTGAGACAGGGTCTCACTCTGTCACCCAGGCTGGAGTGCAGTGGCACAATCATGGCTCATTGCAGCCTCGACCTCCCTGATCTCAAGCAATCCTTCCACCTCAGCCTTACAAGTAGCTGCGGCTATAGGCAAGCACAACAATACCTGGCTTTTGTTTTTTTTTTCTGTATTTGTGGAGATGGGGTTTCACCATGTTGCCCAGTCTTGAACTACTTGGCTCAAGAGATCTTTCTGCCTTGGTCTCCCAAAGTGCTAGGATTACAGGCATGAGCCATGACGCCTGGCCTGAAAGGTGTTTTTTGTTTGTTTGTTTGTTTTGAGACAGTGTTGCTCTGTCGCCCAGACTAGAGTGCAGCAGTGCAATCTCGGCTCACTGCAGCCTCTGCCTCCTGGGTTCCAGCAATTCTCCCATCCCAGCCTTCTGAGTAACTGGGATTACAGGCGTGTACCACCACGCCCAGCTAAATGTTTTTGTATTTAAGTAGAGACAGGGTTTCACCATGTTGGCCAGGCTGGTCTCAAACTCCTGACTTCAAGTAATCAGCCTGCCTTGGCCTTCCAAACTACTGGGATTACAGGCGTGAGCCACTGTGCCCTGCCTGAAAGTATTTTTAAATGCATTAAAAACTCACAGAGCAGTTCCCTATCATTCTAACTGCTCAGCAGTGGCCCACCTTTTAGAAATGGTGTGATGGTAGGAGCCGGGGGTGCGGCATGAGAGGCTGCCCGGCTGGCGCCTGCGAGGGGGATGTCAGATCGGGGAATCTAGACACGGGCAGCACACGAGACTGCTATTGTAACAAGGCTGAGGATGATGGCTGGTCTCTGTTCGGTGTCTTGTTTTGTAATCCCAACATGCAGTTGTGACCTTGTTCAATGTTCGTTGTCTGTTAAATGCACTACATAAATTTAATTCCCATGGTTTGTGGCTGAGCAAAGGAGATTTCAAAAGAAAGTTGTGTGCAGTCTAGCTCATGAGCTCTTGCTATTAGTTTAAAAGAGCTCCAGGGAACAAATGGTGGACTCCAAGCACCCTTTGAGTGCTAACAGCCTAGAGAAAAGGTATTAGACCTTGGGAGTAGCATTTTTGGCAATGTTTTGGTTGCAGACCTCCTTCTGAGTCGCCTGGAGAGATCTTTCCTGCTCTTTGTAGTGGATGTATGATTTGGTTTGCAAGTGTCACTCCTCCCACAGCATGTGGCTGTCAATCATGGTGGCTTCTGCCTCCAACCCAGGCCCTCTGAGGATCCCAAAGATCACTGCCCCACCCCTTAGTACGTGATTGGTTCAGAGGCAGGCATGTGACTCACGATGCCAATCAGAATTCTTTTCTAGGATTTAGTCCTTTAGTGCTTGGGTGAAAGGAGGACTTCCCTGGATAGAGTTGTCTTGCTGGGAGGTTCTGTACCTGGCTGCCCACCACCATCTTGCCTAACTCATAGAAGAAAGCCAAGGAGAGTGCCAAGAGATGGGAGAGAAAGAGGGAGAAAGAGAGAGAGAAAAAACGTCCTGACAACACTGCCTGAGCCGCTGTATCCAGCTATACCTGCTTCCCCCTAGACTGCCACATTTCAGGAGCCAATGAATTCCTTGGTTGCCTAAGCTACAATGAGTTAGGTATCTCTCACTTGCAACCAAGAGTCCTTTAAGGCCCACTCAACAGGGCTGCCATATACAGTGACATCCCTTCACTTACATGGTACACAGGCTTTTCAGAAGAATGCAGTAAAGTGCTCAGTCATCACCTCCTCACAGAAGCATTCCTTGATTTCTCTATGCAGAGCCAGTCACTCCCTACTCTGTGCTTCCAGGAATCTTGTAAAAATATACACTGTAGTCCAAGTCCCTCTATGTATTTATAAGAATATAAATTGAATATTCTTATTCTTATGCCTATCTCTCCATCTGATTGGGAGATCCTTGGGGTAGAGAGGAAATCTGATTTATCACTGTTTCCCCAGGACCCAGCCAAGAAAGTGCTTAGGTGTTTATTGAGTGAATTATAACCAAATCTCACTACAAGAAAAAATTGGGATGTCTCATCTAATTTGTTATTAAGAAAATTCTTACCTGAGCGGAGTGGCTCACACCTGTAATCCCAACACTTTGGGAGGCCAAGGTGGGAGGATCACTTGAGCTCAGGAATTTGAGACCAGCCTGGCAAAATAGGGAGACCCTGTCTCTACTAAAAATACAAAATAAAAAAAAATCCAGACATGGTGGCAAAGCACCTGTGGTCACAGCTACTCTGGAGGCTGAAGTGAGAAGATTGCTTGAGCCCGGGAGGTCAAGGTTGCAGTGAGCGATGATCGTCTATCACTGCACTCCAGCCTGGGCAACAGACTCAGACCCTGTCTCAAAAATTTAAAAATTAAAAAAAAAAAAAAAAAAAGAAAGAAAATGATTGGCTGGGCACTGTGGCTCATGCCTATAATCCCAAACTTTGGCAGGCCAGGGCTCTGAGGCTGCTTAAGTGTGCTGACTGGCCCCAGGTCACACACAGTGAGTCTGGGTCCCACAGGGACCAGATGTGCTGACCTCTGTGGAGCTTTGCACCCAACCACCCAGAGGCAGCAGGAGGAGTTTCCTTTTTGTTTTATTTTGTTTGAGACAGGGTCTCACTCTGTTGCTGAGACCAGAGTGCAGTGGCACAATCTTAGGTCACTGCAGCCTCAATCTTCTGAGCTCAAGAGATCCTCCCACCTCGGCCTTCCAAGTAGCTAGCACTACAGGTGTGTGCCATTATGCCTGGCTAATTTTTTTTAATTAGAAATGGAGTCTCACTGTATTGCCCAGGCTGGTCTTAAACTCCTGGGCTCAAGAGATCCTCCCACTTTGGCCTCCTGAAGTGCTGGGATTACAGATGTAAGCCACCATGCCCACCGCAATTGAGATTTGTTTCTTTTCTTTTCTTTTTTTTTTTGAGACGGAGTTTCGCTCTTGTTACCCAGGCTGGAGTGCAATGGCGCGATCTCGGCTCACTGCAACCTCCGCCTCCTGGGTTCAGGCAATTCTCCTGCCTCAGCCTCCTGAGTAGCTGGGATTACAGGCACACGCCACCATGCCCAGCTAATTTTTTTTTTGCATTTTTAGTAGAGACAGGGTTTCACCATGCTGACCAGGATGGTCTCGATCTC